GAATTGTGACCTTGAAGAAATCTGCGCGAAGATAGAAAGAATACACACTAGGCGTGAGCAAGACAGAAATAGTTGGAACAAGCTTGAACGAGCAGAGCTCTCGATGGGCGGTCTTAGAAGATCGGCTAGAACTGTACAGTACTAGACGAAAATGTTTAGCAATTTCTTAAAACAAAAATGTATATAAATTAACAATAGAAAACAAAGCAAAAGTTTTATAGGTGTGTAGAGCGTTAAGTTAATTCACTTATTATTATTTTTGGCTCAGTATGCTTTTAAATAAAGGATATTCTCAAATTTTAACGAGGCAGCTTAAATAATTTTGCAAATGGTACTGTACACTTTTGTCTAGCTCTCGCTCGATGATCGGTGGAGAAATGAGCTCCGCAAACAAATATGATTGAATTTGGAATTATGCTACGGCGCATCCTAATAAAGGGAAGGGGCATATCTCTAACTTCTTGAAACGGACAGTAATGGTTTAAACCTCTAGGCCATGCCGTTTCTAGTAGCGATGATAACTAATAAAGTACGCGAGGTAGGCCTTGTGTTTCCAATTATTTTTTATTAGTGATGATGCTGTTTAGAGTTATTCGTTTCTAGCGAAGTTACGACTCTTATCTCTAGTCTGCTTGGACGTGATTATAGTACGCCAGAGCTAGGTTATGTGTACTTATGAATTCAAGGGCCTTTGTATACTTTAATGAATGATTACCTATGCAGTGAAACAGCTCGTCGGATAAGAAAACATACATACGTTCATGCATATATAAAAAGCGTTATCTGTCACAAAAGCCACGTAAAATCGAGGAAATTAAATTTTGTAATACTCGTGGAAAACGTGTAGAGTCACGTATACTAGCTGTCGTTGTTTTCAAGCGCCAGGTGCAAACAATACTTAGAGATTGGTGCAGTGAGTAATTAGTTCGCACCAACGCGCAACGGCTCAAATGACACTTTACAGAACAAATTCAACGTTTCGTAACTCAACTTGCATGTATAAATTCAAGTGATGTTTATGAGCTCAGAGAAATTATTCTAAAATCGAGTCTCTCAAACTGCACATCTGCTTTAACGATGCCTCTTTTATTCTCCTAGCCAATTACGAAATATAAACATTGTTTGGAGTAGTTTTAAAGGCTGTGCATCTATAGAAATACAAAGTAATTATAGGTATTGTGAATTTTTGGAGTGTTGATTTAATTAATTTTTGACGGGACTTGAACTTCGACGAAACCCTTGTACAAACTAGAGTGGGTGGATCGGCTTGCGAGTTTCGATGTTTTAGGGAGCCGGACCATAGGTTCGACCATAATGGGAGGGTTCTTAAAGAGAAACTAGACTAAGACAAGTCCCTGAAAGAGGACAGCAGCTCTTCCAAAAGTCAGGTTGGGAGAGATTACGAGGATCGGTATGGCACTCTGATGCACAATACTGCGATGTGGAAGGCAACGGGAAATAACCCCATTATGATTCCGAGAAGAACATATCACACAATTAAATGATGACGTCGTTTGGGGTAAAGCGCTCCGGACGTAAACTAGTCTAGCGGGGACTACTGTGGGGAATGTCATCAATAAGTGCATAGGGGTAGGTGCAATAGGTGCAATAGCGTGGACAATGAGGCAATAGATTGGAATTAGATGTAGTAGGTATTAGTGAAGTCCGTTGGCCCGAAGCTGGAGACTTTAGAGTAATACATACTGGATCGGTGGAAGGTAATGCAGGGGTAGGAATTGTAATGTGTAGGAAAGTAGGGCAGAGTGTAGAAAGTTATTTACAAAAAACCGATAGGATAGTTATGGTTAAATTAAACTCAAAGCCGGTAAGAACGGTATTAGTGCAGGTCTACATGCCTACATCATCTTACAGTGATAAACACGTAGAAGCGGTTTAAGCAGATATAGAAGACCTGTTGAGTTTAGTGAAAGGGCAGGAAAACCTAATAGTTGTAGGAGATTTCAACGCAGTAATAGGTGAGGGTAAAGTGGATGCAATAGCAGGTTCTTTTGGATTAGGCAATAGAAACGATAGGAGAGATAGGCTGATAGAATTTTGCGATAAACATAACTTAACCGTCGCGGACACTTTATTTAACCATCACGTTAGGAGGCGCTATACGTGGAAGATGTCAGGTGATTTAGGAAGATATCAGTTAGATTACATACTTGTTAGGCAAAGATTTAAAAATCAAGTGAAGGACTGTAGGAGTTATCCAGGAGTAGATATAGATAGCGATCATAACTTAGTAGTTATGAAGATCAACCTTAAATTGAAAATTTTGAAAAAGAGGGAAGGGAGGAGACGACTTGACTAAATTTTGAAAAGCTAATATGTAACGAAACGCCTGATAGGCTAGGTAAAAGGAGAGACGAAATACTAAAGGCGGCTGGAGAAACGAATGACAGGGACAACGAGACGAAGGTAGGACACCCTGGATAATAAATGAGATTTTAGGATTAATAGAAGAAAGACGGAAATACAAAAACAAAACAGGCGAAGAAGGGCAAAGAAGATATAAAGCTATAAAGTGGGAAATAATTAGGAAGTGTAGGGCAGCTAAGGAACAGTGGATTGATAGGATGTGTAAAGAAGCAGAAGAAAAGTTTGAAGTATAATAGGTAAAACCGATGAGGCGTATAATATAATTAAAAGGAATTTTAGAGATGTAGGATACAGTAGTAATAATATAAGAAATGAAGCAGGGGTCATTTTAATAGAAAATGAGGAAAAGGCAGATATATCCATAGATGGAAAATATATTTAGAGAACCTACACGCAGGCCATGAGTTAGGAGATATATTAGAGAAGGAAGATAGTGTGGAGATAGATGAGTCAGGTAATCCCAAAATGAGAGTAGAGTTCGATGTAGCATTAAAAAACTTAAAGAATAATAAGGCGCCAGGGGTTAATGGGATACAGGGGGAAATTCTAAAACATACAGGACAACAGGTTAAAGATTGTATGTTTACGTACATTTACGAGACAGGGAAAGTTCCAGATGATTCTAAAGATTATAAACGGAACGTGGTAGTAACCATACCTAAAAAGAGAGGCGCGTATAGGAGCGAGACATTTAGCAAAATTAGCTTAACCTCCCATTCGTCAAAAATCATAACTAGAATTGTACAGAGGACGGAAAAAAGTGCGGAAGAACTATTAGGGGAAGATCAATTTGGGTTTAGAAGAAATAGAGGAACGCGGGAGGCCATTCTTATTTATGTGTAACAATAGAGAAAACGATAGAAAAAGGAATGTGTGGGTACATAGTATTTGTAGATATAGAAAAAGCTTTTGACAATGTTAAATGGGACAAGATGTTAAATATACTTAAAAATGTAGGGATGAATTACAAAGATAGAAGTGTGATACTTAGTGTGTATAAAGAACAATAGGCAGTTATAGAGTTAGGGTTGTAACGAAGAGAAAGTAAATATCAGAAAGGGAATCAGACAGGGATGCACAGTCACCACTACTTTTTAATCTGTACATCCAAGACGCGATCAACATCATTAAAGACAGTACAACTATAGGGATTGTTATACAGGAGCAAAAGATTAGTATGCTTAGATTTGCAGATGATGTAGTAGTATTAGCATCTAGCAAGGAGGACTTAGAGATAGCTTTAAATAAAATGGAAACTGTACTGATGAAACAATACTGTATGAAAATAAATAAAAGTAAAACTAAAATACTGGTATACAAGGGAAGAAAAAGTAGGGAAAGGGCGAATATAAAAGTAAGAGGCGAAAAATTAGAAGAAGTGGCTGATGTTAGATATCTAGGAAGTCAGATAAGTCAGGACGGAAGGAATAGTTGGGATATAAAGCAGAGGCTAGCGTAGGGTCGTGTCGCCATTAATGAAAAGAAGTCACTTCTATGCTTGCGAACGATTAATTTAGAAATTCGAAAAAGGTTGTTAAAGGTGTATGTTAGGTGCGCAGCGTTGTAAGGTTGCGAAACATGGACAGTGGGCGCGGCGGAAAACAAAATGGTGAGGATAAGGTGAATAGAAAAAGTTAGAATTGAAGAGGTATTAGAAAGAATAGGAGAACAAAGGAGTCTATGGAAGTCAATAAGAAATAGGCGAAATAGGTTGGTAGGACACGTTCTCAGGCGTGAAGGTGTAGTCAGAGACATATTAGAGGCAGAAGGGTAGAGGTAGACCTAGATTAGATTACTGTTCGCAAATAGTTAGGGATGCGGGTTGTTCTAGTTTTAGGGAAATGCTAAGTATAGCTTAGGATAGGAAAGAGTGGAGGTACGTGTCCAACCAGTCTTGGGACTGACAACCTTGTGATGATGCATTTAATTTTGCATTTTTTCTTTAGACTTTTCGTTAGGTTATCTTAATTGAAGTCACATCTTCATATAGTAATGAAATCTCAGGAAAGAAAAATTAATTAAACCAAAAGGGACTTTACCTGCTAGAATTTGTAATCCACCCGCAATTTTGGCCGTGTTAGTATGAATAACGTAAGTGACGCAACATGCAGCTGCAGCGGTCACAGCAACAAGAAGACTTATCGCACTTGCTGTACCAACCAAAACGGTGCTCGCTTTCCACCATGGACTCGGGATATCCCAAAATCTGTAACAAATTTTAAATCTATAATTAACAGTACGTATCTACTTGTCAAACTGACTACACGACATACAAAATGTATTAGAATGAACAATAAATGTATGGCGGCATGACCTAGATTTTTAGACCATTGCTTAGAATTCGGGAGGATAGCGGTTTGATCAATTCGCCAGCTCTAGTCCTTGTTTTTGTGTGATTTGCTTTAATCACTTAAGCAAATGTTGGTGTAGTAATATTCCACAGATTTCTTGTTGTCTGTTTACATTTCGCCCATCTCTTCTTTCTCGCCTTAATCACCATCGTCCCATTCCCACGGTCCTAAAAGGAAGCTAAAGAGCGCCTTCCGCCTTACCCTCCATCGTAGTCCGGAAAACAACCAAACTGGTCTAAGAGGCACAATCGGCCTCCGCGTTCGGCAGCGTTCGACATCTGTCTCTCTCCTACTTGAGTGAGCGATGCGTCCGCGTGGACAGCTGCTATACAATAATACATTTCCATTTACCTCCTTCTCTATATCCATACAAAATATCTATCAAACAAATAAAATTAAAATTTTCTTTTGAAAAATGAAACCATTCCATCAGTATTTTCTTATGACGTTGTCACGTTCAATTATCGTCAGTAAACCGACTTTACAGACAACCGATTTTTTATTTACCAGGCATAAATCCAACCTATCGATTCTTTATCAGTTGCAGGAAAATGGCAATCAAACCAATGCTGCTTAATTTCAAACTTACAGACCTTTACTGCTTTTTATTTCCTGCTGTCGGTTCTAGTGCCTCGTGGACCTGTACTTAGGTGCAAAATGGTGGGTAGACCGGAAATCCCCATTCAGCTAGTCAGGGGAAATTAACTGAACAAATTTTGGATTGCTTAGTAGAAAACTGTCTCGAGAATCCCAATTTACCAAACGAATTTTGGAACTTAAACAAAAAGTGTCATAGAACAAAGTAATAAGTTAGTAATTGTTTAAAAATTTTGTAAAGTTTCATTAGAAATCAAGACGACCTAATTTAACCTAGGCTTCAAGGGTGTATTAATTGTTCCTCCTTTTTGGGGTTATGCACCTCTTGAATTAATGCAAATCTCCGAAGGAATTCGCTGAGTGTCTGTGTAATCTATTAATCTCACTTCGGCTTAGTTTATGTTTTGTCGGAACTGCAGGACTGCGACAGGATACTGATCAAGAACTCATTGCGTTAATTATTAAGAGCATATCATATACCTACAATACTACATGGAGAATCAAAAATTATACTTCATTTACTTTCTCTAGCTATGTGCTCCTTCCAATATTTTGGATGCGCGCTGGAAAAATCGTAGGTAGGGAGAAAAAAGCTCATTATACTCTCGACTCTTGTTCATTAAACATACTTTTTCATACAGTACCTGCCGAAACTTTTATTCAATCATGAATAGTAGTGCGAAGCGAAAACAAACGTTAAAACCTTTAATATGTCTCCAAATATAAATAAACATCTCGTTGATATTTTCAGTAGTAAATGGTACCAATAACAGCACATTTTAGCAATGCAATTGTAGTGGATAAAATGGTCAATTTTTCCGTGCAGTACTGTACGGATTATATGCTCCTCACCGGTTAAGAGTTTGGCCGAGAGTTGCCTCCTTCTTTGTCTGGCCTAGTGCTGTTCTTTTCTACTTTACGCCGGTCAAACTGAAGGTCACATCGCCACAGAAAGTAAACGAAATATACGAGCAGGTTTTAAAGTGTGTGCACTGTATACGCCTGGACCTTAACTCAGTTGTAATTATATAGGTGTTATCGTAGTTCTTAATAACAATCGCTGCAAATGATAAAGATATAGTAACTGTTCCTTTAAAATTTATCACATTGTCATAAGAGAAGAGCCAGGTGTTCTCTTTTGAGAATTATCTTCTATAAAATCAAGAATTTCGTCTTTTACATCGGCAATATAGTTCAAACCCTTAAAAAATCTTAAGACACCCCGCCGCACGTTCGTATCATACAAATTAAAATTGACTTGAACTTAGTCGTAGTTCTTGGACATTTACAGCCCCATGCATAAAATTTTTTGGGGCCCCCATTTATGAAAAAAATAAAATTCTTAAACAAATCCTCGCAATTTTATAGTTTAATACAGAGCAACGTGTAGGGCCCCATGAGTCAAGAATCCAACCCAGGGTGCACCGTTTGTGGTTCTGGAAATGATCAAATACTGTATTTGTTAGATTTTCAGGTTAGGATGCCTCGAAATCCTGATTTGAACTTGCAAATTACATCACCTCAGATTTATTATTTAGTCACAATTTGCTAGTTAAACAAAATGTAGGTAAGTCAACATTTTGATGTTTTACATGTTCATTACTATCAGGGTAGGTAGGTACGTATAAAAAAAGTTGTGTGCAATATTTGCAAAGTTGGTTTACGGGAAGTCGCGCTTAAAGCAAACAAGATTCCGGTGGTTGTTTGTAGAAAACACACATACAGCGGTAGAATTGGAATGTGAACGTTTTAAAATTAATTGGCTCGACCGCAGTTGGAAAACGTACAATAGTTTAAAACAGTAGCCGACCATAGAGGTAGTGTCCACTTTTGCATTATTATTATTAAGTTATTCCTTGTTACGTTATTTTACGATCACTATGACTACATTTAAATGAATTAGTATAAGGTTCAAAAAATAAGCTACGTACTTGGAAAAATTAACAAAACCCGGGTGAAAGTCTTCAAGACGATAAAGACGTTATCAAAATTAAAATAGGTTTAACCTAGTTTAACTGTTTGAAAAAAGAGATATAGAAGAATGTTCTCGGAGTAAGTGCTCTGGACAAACCATTTTTTTTTTCGTTATTTTTACTTCCTTCAAGTATCTTGTACCATTTTGTTCGCTAAAAAGTCAATTTATGCGTTGAAGGAAAGATCAATTTATTCATTGGAGGAAAGGTAAGTTCTCGAGTTTTCATAACGCTCACAACTATCGACGCTTACAAGCTCGCATGTATGACCAAAAATTTCAGCATTTAAGACAAATACTGGCTCTGTAAAAGGAAAAACTTAACCGGCAAGACCAAGAGTATGCCTGCAAGACAAAGACCAAGAAGTATTTGAGTAGAACCAAGATTAAGACCGAATAAGCGAGACCAAGATCAATACTAACACAGGGACAGTCTAGTTTTTGATCTGGCTTCGCTCATTACTAATGATAATTCGTCTCTGAAGAACACTAATTCGTTCGCTGGTTTAACTATCTGCTATTTTCTGCGTACCAAACGATTATGTTCTTGTAACTCCCAGGCTAGTGAGGAAAACAAAAGACACTTTTGGGTGTTTCATTCCCACCAGCCACTAATGCTGAGGACTACGCCGGAAGGTAGGGCGGAAGGCCCTCTTCAGCGTCCTTTCAGGAATCGAAGGAATGGGTGGGTGGTGGTTCGGGTGAGAAAGATGAGACGGACGAAATGAAGACACAAGAGAATGAAATATTATCTGTGGAATGTTACTGTCCCAGCCAGTGGTGTTGTGCTAATTTTTTTTTTACCGGAACGCGTATATATAATTATATAGACAGGGCCGATCCTGGGTAGGCGGCCGCTCTGTGCGGTCTCATGTCCCAAATTTGACGACGACGGGGGAGGGGGGATTTCCCCCAATTTTCGCCCGTCGCCAGGATCGGCCCTGTTCACGGTTCGGAAAAACAAGCCGGTTCGTTCCGGTTTTTGTTCCGGTTCGGGTTCGGTTCAAACCCTTGTTTATAATAATACATATAAAAATTCGTCAAAAATTAGAAAAAAAAATCAGCAATTCTTTTTAATTTTCTTTTCAATACGTCAGCCAATTCTCGTTATCAGAAATCATCTTTAGTTCCGGAACGCGTTCCTGTCCAGAAAGGATGTACCGGAACGACGTTTCGAAGCGTTCCGACTCGACAACACCACTGCTCCCAGCATTTGCCTAAGTGATCCAAGAAACCACAGAAAAACTGGAATCGAACCGGCGTCCTCCCGAATGTTAAGCAGTGGTCTAAATCTCTAGGCCATGCCGGTCGGTGGCTGATAAGAGGGGTACAATCCCTAGAGATCTAGAGGTCTGGACCCTTCCCTACTAAATCCGTCACTGTGTAAATAGGTACCGAATAAAGCTCTTAGCGTGTCGTAAGTTTCTTTGCTCTGAATTGTTTTAAGACTGCCCTGATTACGCCGTTTGGTTGCGGTACTGGATTTACACACTAGTATTAGTTTCATTGGTAATGTTTTCGGTTTGACAAAGCAACGATCTCGGTCAGTGAACTAACCTAACCACACTCTTGTACGCCTCTATTTACATCACCGTAATGTGCATTTTAAATTGTAAAAGCCCGTTATTTCTAATCGCGTTCGACTATGGCAGCAGGCGACATTCGCATTTTCACATCCAGAGTTTGTAAAATTGTTTGCTTACCCTGCATAGCGACCGCATTCTTCCACTATCTCCACCGAGCCGTGCAGACCAATCCGAGGGTAGTTGCAGCGCCTAAACGAACTAAAATATGCGTCAACCTTTCCCAGCAAACGACCCTGAAACAAAGTTATTTGCGATAGTGTTGTTTGTCAGTTACATGGACGCATGAAGGTTTATTTTGAGATTAAAATGTTCATAAACGAATTTCAGTCAACTACTATAGTTCAAACAATAACGTTATTATAATTTGATTTGGATATTCGAATTATCCGATATTTGAACATTTGTAAATATTTGAACAATTAAATAGCCAATAAATGAAATATTTGAATGGCTATTCAACTCCTCAATTTATCAATGTATCAGCCGCTTCTGGCAGACTTGCAGAAAGCAGGGCAAATGTGACCTATTGTTAAAAAGAATACAGGCAAGCTTGTGAATTGTTGAAACAAGTACAGTACAACTAGCGTAAAGCGGAGCCCCCATCAAAGTGACATGGCGTAAGATATGACGCGTGATTTAACAAATGGCGTGCATCTACGATGCTACTTCAAATTGAACCAATGCTAGGAAGTGGATCAGCGCTCATTGAACGAACGTAGCGAGTAACATGCCAGTTGTAGCTTCTAGCAGTCATGCCACTGCAATAAAAGTAGAGCTTGTTCTATTTTCTAGTCACTCCGCTTAAGTATTACTTCACTTTCTTGTTGATTAACCAAAAATGAAGGATGATTCAAATTTCAATATTCATTTGCTTCAATGACTGAAGCAAATCCCTGCATTTATGATCACATATGTGGCGAATATTCTGACAGGAATGTGTAAAAAAATATCTAGGAGACGAAAGGACATTATATGCCTTGTATGTTTGTATGGGAGATGGCGTATGGTTTCGGACTAGTGCTATCTCTTTCATGACACACTTACGCACTATCGTGAGAGAGATGGATATTATAAGAACAAAGGCCGGAATCCATAGTAGAATGAAGATTCGGGCTATAGGGCCGTGGTCTAAGTGACTGTCGACTGTCGCTGTCGAGACTTCGAGATATAATCTACGTTCACGTTGCCAACGCAGCACCACCACTGAGGATGTCAGGCGCAGTAGCTGACGAAACGTCTGGACGGAATAGTTCACTTAGACCACGGAACAAACAGAATAGCTCAAAACCCCAACGCCAAAACACGACACTGTAGTTGTCCGAAGCACTTTTCGGTAACAAAGTTACCTTCTTCAGGGACTGAAGTAAACTAAACCTAAATGAGAACTAATCCTATAGTCCTAATCTTCATTCTACTGAGATGGATATTGTCCGAAACTTCGTTCCATCTCTTTCTTTTATTGTACCACAATTCTGACCGCTAAGGCATGTCCATTAGTAAACGTCGATGTTTTAATGCTACGCTTCTTTGGTGGGCGGTCCCCCTAAGAAAAACACTGTCTATGTTACGTTCAAAGATGCGATGTGAACAACGCTTATGTATTTAATTTCCTCGCGAATCATCCGTTTTCAATCACTCGCGCTGTATCGAACGTGAAACCAATTCAAATCCACTGATTAGTAGTTTCTGGAATATTAGTTTAGTAAGCCGTTTGGAAGTGTTACACTCACGTATACATGCGATGAAATCAATAGGTAAAGAAGACCACAAAAGTTGTAAATTGTCACTTGCATGACACATACAGAGGCGATCAATAAGGCGACGTAACAAAAGAATTTCGAGAGATTGCTAGAAAAAATATACATATAACTGGTTCTCGAGAAGATCAGCTGATATATGAACAGGTGATTGGTGCGAATAATAAACCAATTACAGTTATATTATCGTAATACACTGTTATATAAATAAGCGTAATTAATAAACGTTTGTGAGATAAATAAGAGACCACATCTATTAAAGTTTGCAGTTTTTAAATGTTTCATTTTGAATTAAGTGAGTAGATACCCTATACATGTATACAACAACCTCACTATAAAACTATCACCCATCATCATCATCATAAGGTCGTCAGTCCCAAGACTGGTTGGACACGTACCTCCACTTTTTCCTATCCTGAGCTAATCTTCGCATTTCCCCAAAACGTCCCAGAACATCCCACATCCTTAACCATTTGCGAACAGTAATCTAATATAGGTCTACCTCTACCCCTCCTAACTCCTGTTTCTGCCTCCAATATGTCTCTAACTAGACCTTCATGTCTAAGAAGGTGCCCTACCAACCTATCTCGCCTATTTCTTATTGACTTCCATAGAGTCTTTTGTTCTCCTATTCTTTCTAATACCTCTTTATTTCTAACCTTTTCTTTCCACGTTATCGAACCTAAAATATAATGAGGATAAGTCATACGAATTACATCAGTATCATAAAGTCGTCAGTCCTAAGACTAGTTGGACATGAACCTCAACTCCTTCCTATCCTGAACTAATCATTTAATTTCTCTAAAACTAGACCATCTCGCATTCTTAACTATTGATGTCCTACCAACCTATCATGCTTATTTCTTATTGACCTCCATAGAGCCTTCTGTTCTCTTAGTCTTTCTAATGTCTCTTCCTTTCTAACCCTCTCTATCCACGGTATCCTCATCATTAATGGTAATAATTATTATCAGAGCTTTTCTTAAACTTGCCAGACTGTATATTTACTTATGAATGCAATCAATATCGGCAGCACATTCTATGTATCCAAATGCCAACAGCCGCAAACCATAAACTCTATGGTGGACAAGGCAAACAGAGCCAATGAACTTAAGGAAAGTTTCCGGAAGTAATTAGGGATATTCCATAAATAATTGATCAACATCCGACGAATAATATATAGAGTGCAAGAGAAAAAAAGTGCCGAGCTTGCAGGAGGTGAAAAAGCACTATAAAACATGAAAATTAAATTAATATTTATAAGTCCGAAAATTCACCGTTTTCGAGAAAGAGAAAGTTGAAAGCACAGGTAAATTCAATGCCGGCCCTGGTAATGAAATACGGCTCGCAATACTGCACTTAATCAGTTGGTGATTACCAGTATCAGTGTAGTATTTGTTGTGTGTTTTTTATTGTTTATTTATTAAGTTAAATTAAATATGATTCCGGGTATTTATGTTAACAGCCAAACTCTAGTAGTTGTTTCCTCTTTTAACGTTTAAACCTAGTATCAATCATTAGTGTAGGTCAGTCTGTAGAACAGTTGTTATTACAATAATGTGACATGATATGTATTTACGGTTGTATCGCCCCTGTGGAACCAAATCTTCTATTTCAGAAATAATAGCTTTGAAATAGTAGGCAACGTTGACTCATGTGATAGTGTGGCAAATTTTAAAGTAACACTTGCTGCGTCCTTATCATTTACAGCGAGTGCAAGCCTTGTTTGAACCTGATTTTCTGTCACTAGTTGATTTAGATTAGGATGGAATTTTGTATTTCAATTACAATTCGTGCGACGCAAATTCGCATGTCTTCAATTTTTCCTAATTTCAAGAACTGTTTTCGGGAAATGTATGAAATGAAAATTTTGGACACTTATAGTAAGTTTGTATATAACCATCAGCAAGAATGAAATGCGTGCGCCTTAACAGTATCCAAATGGTGGTGTGAAAATTTGGCTTAATAAAATTACAATTATCTAAGTCATTAATTCTCTTTTGCCGACTAATCATTACATAACTTACATTTTATTTTTGTTTATTACAGGAAGAGTTACAATTATGGTCAACCGACAGTGTTCGATGGTAAGTTTTTTTTTACTTATTTAGTCTTCTTGATTCACAATTATACTAATATACCTAATTGTATATTATTATTACATAGGATAGTTTATGTTAAGACAACTGTTACCTAAAACTACTTCATTACTATTCTTATGTACTTATTTCTCACTTTTATCACTGAAAATTTAAAATTAGGATGAACGTTTTTGAGGTTAGGTAAATAAAAGTTGTCTTCAAAATTATCGTTGCGGTAATTAGGTAAAGGATTCATTGAGTATTAAAGTATATGTATATTTAGTGTACGAAGATATAGTTTGGAATAATATACGTATGCTTACCCATACGAAACCGGGTAATATCGCTAGTGAAACTATAGAACCCTAGAATCATCGGGTAAATCCGCGGAAGAAATCTTGAATTTACAACATACTAAACATTCAAGCTCATCGTGTTTGTTGAAACAAAGATAGTCTCGTTACATTATTCTAGCATCTAAAATATTAAAGGGCATTAAAGAAACTCCAGTTTGTCATAAATCTCTCTAGTCAAACAATGACCTCACCAATGGATATAAGTACATCTCCAAACTGCCTGTCGTATTATTGCCTATTTAGTATTACCTGTTATCGATTACTATTTCGGAAATGTATCTAATATAATTTATTTCACACATTTCCTAGCGATTTTAGGAATTATATACATTTCCTAGGAATCGTATACAATGCCGGATATCATACATTTCCGGTAACGTATATAAAACCGTACATTTATATGCGTTTTGTTGAGAGCAATCTACGTTAAAGCTTTTATTCGAAAGTATATGTTCGATAATGAATGGTTATTCCTCTAAAGCTGGAAACACTAAAAGGGCATCCGGTTGTCGCTGGCCGATTTTTTGAACCCGCGTCACGTACGCGAGCGCCATCAAAACACACGGCCAGCCGCTAAATCTTTATTTCATTGCTTAACGTGATTCTCAGCAAATGCAAGGTAATTTGGAAGGAATCTGGCTTACATCTCCATTTGGCGGCGAGTCGTCTCGGTACGAGTGTGAGTGTTCTATTGGTCCGGCGGTCCGGAACGCCACGATTCATATGAAAACAGATGTTCGCCCGCAAAAATTTATCTTTCCACCGTGCCGTATCATATCGCATCCCATCGCGGCAAATGGAACGGAAAAAGGTAATATTGAAGTAAATGTCGCGTCGTGTCGTAATCCGGCTATTACATTCGTTGTAAATGTGGTCCCGGTAAAGGTCCAGATGATGGCCCCGACCACCTTCGGGGGTGGGGTTGGGGGGATCAAAAGAGGAGGTCTCCCCCACCACTGTACCATAAAAAGTTCGTGGCGGTCTCACACCCATAAAAAGTTGTGGGGGTTTGTGAGATAAATAAGAGACCACATCTATT